TCTCGAGAAAAAAGCCCATTCATTAAAATGCCCACCCACAAGATGTGCATGCACACACACACACACACACAAACACTGCCATTGTTTGACAACCCTACCCCCCAAAATGAATGCCCCTCAGCTGGAGACCACACAATGATTCAAAGTTTCACCTCATCCCAAATCTGAATGCACTGCTCTGGGAAACCAAAAATAGACAACTAAACTCGACACAGATAAACGTCATGCAGCTTCTACTTTAAAGAAACCTTAATTCATTTTAAAGCTTGTAATGGATTTTTCTAATCGTTCCTTTATAAAAATATTTCCCATGACGTTTGGCTGTTTGAAGTTTTCAGAGATGACTTTTAAAACCTACGGACGCTATCTTAGATAATCAATACCCGACTTTGGGCTGTAACATAACAGTTTGTTCCTTGTTCGGTCCGTGTTTGCATAGTGTGAGAAAAAAACCTTTCTTCCTGTAGAGGCATAAAGAGATGCATAGTCATCATCGGGGTCGGTTCATATTTCTGCCCTTAAAATCAATCAACAATTTGTGACACTGCTGTTTTAATAACTAAAGTTGCCAATGAGGCCTTCATTTCAAAACTGGCAAAGGATTATCCACTGCATGTTTGCTGAAATCCATCTAAAATGTATTTCCAATTAGATTTGGCCATTAAAAAAATTTGCAAAGAGAACCAAGGAATGAAATGATCATTCATCATGCTTCAAATAAGAGTAATTGCTATTGTAAATAAAAGTTGCTATTTGGCAATTGAAAGATAATTTTATTGAATAAATTTTTAAAAAGTGTGAGAAATTTATGAAGCTGTTTACACATGGTCACTTTGTGTGTTGTTTTTTCAGATAGCTGTATAATTGTGAAGGGCAGGTGTAAACCCTATAAATGGACGGATGTAAATCCAATCGCTCAAACCATTTCAGATGGTGGTTTGGGACTAGGAATGCACAATTAATCTAAAAAAGATTGCGATGTCGATTCGACCCACCACACAATCTTAATCCAGCATTTTTACAATTCAGCCAATTATATTTTCATAAAGAAGGTTGCGCAAGTCTTCACGTTGTTTTACATATGTTTCACAGCAAAGTGGACACCTCCAAATGATATTGAAAGAGTCCCATACTGTATTTAGAAAATATAATTCACCCAAAAATGTCATTTCAGTCTTCATATAATGATGTATTCGTGGCCGCAAAATGAGTAATAATTACAACAAGCATTTGATTTTTTTTTCTCTCATTGCGAACATAGAGTGTAGTGCATGAAAATAAATGTTTAACAGTGTCACTATAACTACTCTAGACTATATAATTTTGAATATAATGCGAGAGAAAATCTGATGACAAATGATTTTACCAGTGAAAGTAATTGTCTAATAATGTTGTCAATGACAGATTGCAAGCATAAGTCTCAAACACAATAATTCAACTTTAGAATTATGAATAGTTGTATTCTGACGTAATCTCTTTACCGTGCATTAACAACCAGGACAAATTTAAAGTCTATATAATTTAGCATTTTAAACAACAGTACACCTACATATAGTTCTAATATTATCATTGTGGTTTTACCAAGTTTGAGAATTAACAGAAATAAAAGCCTACTCGTAATAACCTTCACAATTTAAAAAAAAAAAAAAAAAAACATAATTTTCATTTTAGCTAAAGTCATACAGCCCTATCTGGGACACATTCCTGATGAAACTGGACAGGTTGAAATGTATCTGGTTGTTAAAAACATATGTAAATTTTACTCCTTTTAAAATGTAATTTTTTTTTTTTACTTGAGCGTGTTTTGGGCTACATTACAGATATAAAAGCTCAAATGCTGTATGCAACACCACAGATGTTTGTTTCGTCTTATTTTTTTTTATTTTGACCGGTCAGTATCCAATGATATTATAATGTTAAATGATGAAATTCCAATGCATTGTTACTAATATACATTGTAATAATATCAAGTGGCAGCATTAACAAAAGAGATGCATCACGCACCTGTAGTATCTTAGTGGATGGAGAAGAAAAATAATAACATTTTGTTTGTTTACAAATGCACAGGGTTTTGATTTTGGGATGGTATGTTATGCACAAATTAATATAAATCCTTTAAAGTTTTGAATGATATCTTGCACATATCTGTAAGACAAAGCATAGATAGTCTATAATGACAGTAATCGTGGAGCCTGGCCTTGAGTGCTTATGCGGTAGGCATGGGATGAAAAGTTTGGTTTGGAAAAGTCAAGGTTGTAAAACCTCCATAATTTTCTGTTATACCGTTCTAAGATGTATGTTTGTTTGGTTTTTTTTACAATTTTATTTCGTTTTTTAGGACAACAGTATCTCCAGCAGAAAGAACCCTCCACATCATAATAAATAAGTCTTAAGATAAAATATATTGTGTTCAGTGGGAAAAAGTACTTTTATTTCCAGACATTTCAAAAGAACATATTTTAGAGCAGTAATCACATTACCGTGATGTTTTTATCCAAGATTATCATAACGTCAGAATCTTATACCAACCCATGCCTATTGTGAAGTACGAAGCCTCCTGAAGTCTGCATGTGAAACCATTTGTATGCTGAATAAGACATATAGCTTAAATAAAATATATATAATTAAATAAAATGTGGCACTTTAGTTGACATCATAGTTAAATTTGCATATAGAAGAGGATTTGAAGATCGGAATCATCATTTATATTGCTGATTGTTAATTGAATCAAATTCCCAATAAATAAATAAATAAATAAATCTATATATATATCTTATCAGAGAAAACACATGAATTGACAGGTGTAAACAGACCATATAAGAGTGCATTGTAAATATACTGTATGAATAAATGACCTAATGCACTGACATTTTTTAACAACCTTTAATAGTTTGGTAACTTCACAGTTGATATCTAAAATAATAATAATTTATTGTATTTTTAAATAACTATTTTTAATATTTAATGTAGAAATTGATTGCATTATTATTATAATTAATAATAACTATAATTGCAATTAAATGTGTTTCACCCATTTGTTCTTTCAAATTTTTAATAATTGCAAACACAGTTTTATGGTCTCTAAAAATATATTTATGGGCAGTAAATTTTCTTCGGCTTTTGGCAAGAGTGGCAAAAATGTTCATTTCAAGCTCTGATGACAACATTAAAAACCTTCTAACTCTAGCTTACATAATCAATACCTGACTTTGTGCTAGCTATAATATAACACTTTGATCCCTCTCCAGCACAGTGTGAGAAAAACCTTTCCTCCTGTAGAGACGTCAAGAGATGCATCGTCATCATCAGGGTCGGCTCACATTTTTGCCTCTAAAAAAAATCAATCAACAGCACATGTCGTTGCTCTTTTATTACATAAACTTGCCAAGGAAGCCTTTCTGATGGTCAGATTTACATTGCAGTGCTACTGAATGGAGAAACAGAAGGACAAGAGAATGTGCATGGTAAAGGCCAAGCACATCAGCCCTCGGCGTACATTACATCAAACAGAGTCTCTGCAATGTCAGAGCGTTGGCATCTCTCGAGTTTGACAGCCAGATCAGCTGTTTGGCATGACCAAAGCATGCTTGACTAGCACACTGGGACACAGTGTAACAGTCTGGCACCGACAGAAGGAGCTCCAATTTGTTTTGATATTAGTTTCAATATTTTCACACACAATCACGACAGGAGTTTATTGCATATAAGCTGATTTCCAACGTCCTTGGAGCCAAACCACCGACCTTCTGGACACTGGCGAGTACTAGCAGTACTACCGCCACCCACGGGTTCAGAGGTCTCAATCTATTATAGCCTTACATCATAGCGCAAAGCTTGAAAATGTCATTTCACAAGCATGCAATGAGGATTAAACAAAGCCAATGACATCATCCCCCTGGAGGGCAAGATTCGATTTTGGGTTTGATTATTCGCTTTGATTCACATTCTGGGGTGTTTTTGAGTTTCGCAAACAAGAAGGTGTGAGTGTTTTCAAGTCTTCCCGATCACACTTCCTTATTATCAGTCAGAAAAGCACTGTAAGCCATCAGATAGGATATCTTTACACTACTGCCCTTCCTGATAGAGGTGGAATTTTGATGGGGTTATTGCCGGAAGAGCAAAAAGTGATCCGAGGCATTTAATAACACAACCCTTCACTTCTGTCCGGGATTGATCAATATCCAAAATAACAATGAGTCAGTTGACCTTAGCCTGTGACAAACGTTAAGCACATTCATTTAACTATAACTTGTTTTTAAAGTACTTGAACAGTAAGTAACCAATAAACATTAATATAAACAGACTTTTTACAAGTAAGAAACCAAGAAATTTAATCTAACATTGTTTCTGGTGTCCGTTCAATATTTCTAATAGTCAAAATCCCAATGTACTATTTATTTGGTACTAGGTAAGAGATTAAATATTTTATTCAATTCTACTATATTTAATGAGCTGTTGGCAACCTTCCTAGTTTAGTTCCAGACTAGGGTACTAGTATTGATTAGTACTATTAAACTGTAGTAACTGTTATTAAAATCGAATCCATTCTTGTCTAGTAAAATAAAGCAATTTGTTACCACAATTGAATAATGGTCTGTCAATGTTAGTATTGTGACTAGTCCAAGATTAAGCAACAAAAAATATAAAGTATGAGTTTAGACTTTTTAATTTAGCAGAGCAGTGATATTGAAACCATTTCAATGTGCTCATGTCATTGATCCATGAATATGTCCTGCTTGTTATAAAACTATTTCTTAACTGTAACAAGAGGCAATTCAATCATAACTTTGTTAAAACATGACATTATTTATTAATATGTGTCTCTTTTTGAATTCTCGAAAGCTATAGAAATTAAACTGTAAATCAGTAAATATGTTGGGACCATTGTTTTTGTTTACATCTCTTTAAAATGGTCTATAGAAACTGATTCAAGCTTGTCAAAGAAAGAACCAACATTTAATGTAAACACCATGAAATCTTTAAAGTGGGTAAATTCTTACCATGTCAACAGGGATGTTGCCCGTCATCTTTGAAATGTGCTCTATTCACTTTAGATTAAAGGTAGTTTCTTTTTTCTTCGGTCTAGTTTGCTTTAAGAAACAAAGTTTTGACAGCAGGTGACTTGTGGTAAAGCAGTTGATCGCCCGTCTGGTTATTCCTGTATGTTCGCCAGTAGAGGTAGTTAAAAGCAGACAGGAATCGCTTCTTCTTCAGAAATGCTTCTCACTTCTTGCTTTTTCATGGTATAAACTTCAAGGAAATGATAATTTCTGGATTTTATATTTATGTGGGAGGACCCCCTCCCATCCTGGAATAAAAAAATGATATATATTAGGACAAAAATGTGCCTACGCCATAGAAAAACAAAATAATACTACAATTCAGCCCTTGGAATTCGCAAATGTACCGAGAAGAGTTCCGCGCGAGTCCGCAGTAAAAAATAGACCGTCGCCTGGTCGAATAATGCTGTAACTCGACGGTTTTTCAGTCTTTTATCCGTCTTCGTCTGCACTCGCTCTCTGCTGTCATCCTGCCTCAGAAAAACATGGCGGTGGTTGACGGGGGAAAGGGCTGAACGGGGGAAACCGGAGCTGGTGAGGCAGATAAAAACGGCGCGATGTCGATCGGTATGTGTGTGCGCGGATGAATACACGCCCCCCAGCAGTTAAAGGAAGAGGCGGAGAGAGAGAGAGAGAGAGAGAGAGAGAGAGAGAGAGAGAGAGAGAGAGATGGCAGTCATAAATGTGGATTATGAAATATACCGCTTATTTTTGTTGCATTATTATTACTTTTTTATCACTACTAGTATGTCATTTATTTGTCATGTCAATAAAGTAAGATTGAATTCAATCAGAAAATCAATAGATCCTAAAATATTGATTGTTAAATGAAAAGTTTATTACTATTTGTTGTTATTGCATTCTTATTATTTTATTCATGTTTTATTATCATCAACATAATAGCCTAAAATTATTATTTTTTTATCACTAGGAAAACTACTACAGGCCTAGAGAGAGATGTTAATCTTAAAATGTAAAAAGATTCTGCGTTGGCAACCCCTGATAAGCATGGAATAAGCCGAAAGAAAATTAATGAGATTGTACAGCTAATTACTATATTATTACTACATTGTTATTTTTATTGTTATTATTATTGCATTTTAACACTATGTAATTTACTTTATTCTATTCGATGTAAACGTGTAAAGATGTGAGGGACAGCAAGAGAGATACAGTGTGTGTGTGTGTGTGTGTGTGTGTGTGTGTGTGTGTGTGTGTGTGTGTGTGTGTGTGTGTGTGTGTGTGTGTGTACTGTATATATTCCTTTATATATTATTATTGATATTGTTGTTGTTATTATTGTCATCAATATTGTTATCACTAATATTTGCTGAATTTTTTCCACTAATCCTGCATGTACACTTTGGCAATATGTAACCATGTATGTCATGCCAATAAAGTAAAGTGAGAGAGATTAATCTTAAAATGTTAATTGTTAAATATACCACTTATTATCAATGAATTATAATATTAATTATTTTTTGATCACTACTACTATGTAATTTATTGTCATACAAAGTCAAATTGAATTTAGTTGAAATGATGTGAGATTGTTATAAATTAATCCTAAAATATTGCTTATTAAATGTACAGTTCATATCAATTTATTATTGCATTATCATTTTTTATTTTCATTATTATTAATAGGCCTATGATTATAGCTTTTTTATCACTACTTTAATTTATTTTCACATGTTCTATTCAATGTAAATATTACACATGCTCTATCAATAAATTTGTAATATGCAGGTATTTGAATTTAATTGAGAGAGAGAGAAAGAGAGAGAAAGAGATCATGTGCGTTTCACTATAAACTAATTAGTAGGGAGCTTTTATCGAAATGCTTCATGCCTAATCTCCTTTAGAGCACATACAAGTAAACATTTTTAAATAATAATCATCAGCCTAATGTTTGTTTTGTTTTGTGTTTGTTCAGTTAGTTCATAGGAACCAGTTCATCTGTTGCATTTCTTCTAGACCATAATAACCACAAGATTTAAACATGAATGGCTCCTCATTGGTTGGATTAATCTAACTATGGTTTAGGCTCTGCCTAGTATGTTTTATGGTTTCAAACCGGTTAATGCTTGACTCACAGACTTTGATGAGTTTTTACTCCACTGGTTCAGGTGTACCCCAAGCTACCTAAAAATTATTCTAAAACTAGCTGAAGAAAAGTAAATTATAGAGGAATTAGGAGTGTTTTTTTACAATGATTTTTAAGGCTTTTTTTCTCCTTAATTATGATAGGACAGTAGAGATTTAAAACAGGAAAGCATTGGGAGCAGAGAGAGGGATCAGCAAAGGACCTCAAGTCTGAAATCGAACGTGGGTCACCGTGAGCACGCCAATTCCATTAGGCTATTAGTGCCGACAAAACAGTAGTTTTTAAACCAGAGTGATGGAAATTTGAAAAGATTTGGTGAAAAGAAAACAATTAAAAAAAACTAAAATTATTAATAAATAATTAATCAAGAACTCAAATGATATAAATGCTCAAGATTTCTATAATTAAATACATTGGATAATTAGATTAAAGGATATCATAAACATTTGTATTATAAATAGGTAAATAAGTGGGCACCAATAGCCTAGTGGTTAAGTGCATCGACATATCCACTTGTTAAGTATGATGTCACACGAAGCGGCTTCCAAGTCCAAGCGCTCTATCAAACTTTATTGGGAGATTCAACAAATGGTTATAATAAATAAAGCAATGTAATGCTTTCGAAAAATCACGATATTTTTTCAGGAGCATATGAATGCCAGAAAACAGTATTTTTGCAAAGGGCACCTATTTTACCTCTGGTTCCCCCATCCACTGTCAATGTGCCTCAGTCTTTGGCTGCGTTAGATAAACAACACAGTGACAGACATGAAGGAAGCAAATCTCATGTGACATTTGTGAACAATACTACTGTAAGAACTTTCCCAATGATTATTTTATGTATTTGTTGTGGAGTTTATTCAAGTCTTTCTATGTAGGCATGTTAATACCTACACACAGTCCTGTACAAACAGCTTCCAAAAGATGATTTTCATCATCGGTGCCTTTTAATACAATGTCCAAAATTGAAGTAAAACAATTTTCTCTGCGTTTTCTCTGTGAATTTTTTTTGTTTAACTATTTAATGAAAAAGATGCTTTGCATCTCTGTGTATGTATTTGTTTTTATATCATGGTGGGGACTTAAACCTGAAAGCACACTCCCTATGGATAAACATGCTTATTAATCCCAGAAATATAGTAGTTCGAAAATGTTAAAATGCAGATTGTTTACTGTGGGGGTTTGGTTTAGGGGTAGGGTGTGGATAAGGGGAGAAAATAAACAGTTTGTAGAGTAGAAACAGCATTACATCTATGAAAGTCCCCGCTGGGACATAAAAACAAGTCTCAGTGTGTGTGTCTGTATGTGCGATTGTGTGTTTTATAGTCTGCATGTGTGTCCCTGTCTCTAAAACATGAGGTCTATATCTGTACTGTTGACTCCGCCATTGTCTTGCATGATGTTGAAAGAAATTCAGCCTGACGTGGAGTGTCAGAGCCACAGATACTCAAGAGGATTAACTCTTTAATCTGTCACTGATTCTTCTGTGCCGTTTCCAAAACGCTTTTGTTCTCCTGTGTGCCATTTCAGTCTCCTGTCAGAACAAAATACCACCACAAATGCCATCAGAAGAGCACCATAAAAACAAATATGCAGGAGTTTAAAACAGGTGTATCTGTGAGTGTGTGTGTGTGTGTGTGTGTGTGTGTGTGTGTGTGTGTGTGTGTGCGCGTGTGTGTGTGTGTGTGTGTGTGTGTGTGTGTGTGTGTGTGTGTGTGTGTGTGTGTGTGTACAAGGACTGTCGGGTACACCGAGATCGTAATCTGTTAGTGATTGTGTTGACGTTCAGACAAACATGTAACTACTTCCTTTGTTTGATTGTGATTGTTAATCTGTATAATTGTGTGTTTACAGAGAGGCCATTGAGTACTGACTTCTGACGCACACACACACACACTGATATGAGGAATCTCCATAAGAGTGATGTGTTTTATAATGTAAAAATTGCTAATTGCTTAACTCATTATTGATTCTATTTATTTACTTCTGTAAATTTGTGTAAAATAGGTTAGGTTATGTTACTGTAATTATACCCGAAGGTAGATTTGGCTTAGAGTCAAGAGTCCATTCATAACAGCGGCACACAAAAAAATTCAAAACAAAAAGTTTTGTGCGTCTATGTTTCATATCTTCATATCCATTTGAAGATATGAAACATAGACGCACAAAACTTTCTCTTCCAAAAAAAATGTTAATGCCACCCCCCGCCCCTCACACACACATACACACACACACACACACACACACACACACACACACACACACAAATAAATATACATTTATCCTGTTTTTATATTAATGTCAGTAATAGTTTTTAATGTTTATGTGATTTATGTACATTGCAGTTTGTAAAGTAATACTCTCTGTCTTTTAGCTGATGTATTAAATGAGAAATTCTTTTAAGACATTTTTTCACTTCAAGTGTTAAGTTCTGCACAGAAATAGCAAAAAATGTTCACAGATTCTGTCTTACCCATATCATTATATAAATGTGTCCTCATAAACCACACACACAAACACACTGATATGAGGAATCTCCATAAGCATAATGTACAATCCCCGGCCACTAGGTACACATTAGGTACACATTAGGTACACCTGTCCAACTGCTCGTTAAATTTCTAGTCAGCCAATCACATGGCAGCAACTCAATGCATTTAGGCATGTAGACATGGTAAAGACAATCTGCTGCAGTTCAGACCGAACATCTTAATGAGGAAGAAAGGTGATTTAAGTGACTTTGAATGTGGCATGGTTGTTGCCACAACCCATATCTAGGGTTTACAGAAAATGGTCTGAAAAAGAGAAAATATCCAGTGAGCAGCAGTTCTGTGTGCGCAAATGCCTTGTTTATATCAGAGGTTAGAGGAGAATGGCCAGACTGGTTAAGCTGATAGAAAGGCAACAGTAACTCAAATAACCACTCGTTACAACCGAGGTTTGCAGAAGAGCATCTCTGAACACACAACACATCCAACTTTGTGGCGGATGGGCTACAGCAGCAGAAGACCACACCGGGTGCCACTCCTGTCAGCTAAGAAGTTAAAACTGAAGCTAAAATTCACACAGGCTCACCAAGAATAGACAATAGAAGATTGGAAAAATGTTGCCTGGTCTTCATATCTGTTGTGACACTCGGATGGTAGGGATAGAATCTGGCGTCAACAACATGAAAGCATGGATCCATCATGCCTTGTATCAGTGGTTCAGGCTGGTGGTGGTGGTATAATGGTGTAGGGGATATTTTCTTGGCACACTTTGGGCCTATTAGTACCAATTGAGCTTTGTGTCAAAGCCACAGCCTACCTCAGTATAGTTGACCATGTCCATCCCTTTATGACCACAGTGTATTTATCTTCTGATGGCTACTTCCAGCAGGATAACACACCATGTCATAAAGCGCGAATCCTCTCAGACTGGTTCCTTAAACATGACAATGAGTTCACTG